TAGCTTTTGACACACAGACTGTGCTGACAGTAACAACTGCAGTGTCCATAAACATTTAAAAGCGTGGTCACAATTGAGTTCTTGTACCATAAGTGGAACATGTTTGTATAGCTGCGTCCGTATGGTTTAACATGTGGGAAGAAGCTTCTACAAATCTGTGCCACTACATGGTGAAATTTTGTGGCGTACAAAATACAGCCATCATATTGTGTTAATTTGCAATATTGTATCAATACGGGGACACCAGATATCAATATTTCATTAAATAAATTAGAATACTGTGGAAATACAGTGAAAAAAGCACAAGTGCACCAATATCCTAGGATAGCGTTAGCCGAGCAAACTTGGATTAAATCACTGAGTCGACGATTTATCACTGTTCATTCCATTTAACTGCGGATGGCAAGAATTTATGACAGTGTTGGTTATGTTTGACAGTCTCATGCTCTTGGCTCTTGACGGAGGCAGTCGCACCTTCTCCCTCTCCCTTATCTTTTCTGCTTGGCTTCTCATGTCTTTTGTAAAGTCTCGCTTATTCTCTAACCCTTCTGATTCTGATTCTAAGAGAGTCTCCCAGACTTGTTCTCTAAAAACCTAAAGAAGAATTATGAATTTGATTAACTGGCCCCTTAATGAAACTGACACCCTCCTGGGCTTGGGAGAGCCTGATCGTCCCTCAGAGACGTTTGCTGCTGGATACTCGATGGTCAGTTGCATCGTGTGTCTGGCGACACTCTCGATGGAGGACATTGAACGACATCTACCAATTTGGAACCATGATAACAGAGTTCTGGCTGATTGGAGCTGGCTCGGACCTGGCTTATCAAAGAACAAGAAGCGGCTACAGCTGTTCAAAATCCCACAAGGTTGGCCAACATGATAGACGATGGGCAGGGCTGTGAGTACTCGGACTGTGTTTTTCAACGCAATAGGGATAAAATCATGGAGAAGCTCATGGCTCTGCTATATGGATAACATCTTGAAGAAGAAGAACAGGAATTGAGAGACCTGGTGACCAGTGACGGACATTAGACCAACAGTAAAACTGGATGCAGTTTGTTCGCATTAACCAAAATAGCTACCATCTTCATCTCATGCGGCCCTCTGGCGCCAGCTGGATGCTCAAGGCAAAAGCTGACGGGAATAACAATTCTCCCTTAGATAACAAGACTGTGTTGTGACTTTCTCCCTCCTCGTTCAAGGCCACGCGCGTCGACCAAAGACTGTTGACTTTTGCCTAACCGGGTGACGGGACACTTTCTCTCGGCTAAACACACACACACTCACACGCACACATATGTGTGTACACTGACACAGACCTACACCCTGTTGGAGCTCAGTCTGGGGGGGAGTTATTATTTTCTCCTCGTCTTTCCTCGTGTTGTGCATTTTCCATTGTTATACCTCTCTGACCTGTCTTCCCCATGTGATGTAGTAATGTATGTATGTATGGTCGGAAGGGTAAGATGGCGCTGGCAAAGGTCGGCAGCCTAACCCAACAAATTTCCCACCTGTGGGACTAATAAAGGTTATCTTATCATATCATTTTGCAGCGTAATGATTAAAGTAAGAAAACATTATCTTATTGGATAAAACGCATACTGACAAAGTTTAGTTTTGAGGGCATAATTTGCAGTTGGAAAAAAAGGTGATAAATCGCAGTATTCGTTATTGCAGAACTCTCAGTATAGTGCTGTAAGGTGATAATGTGGTGTTTGTCAGATTTCCGTCTTCCCCTGTCCTCCCTGAACCTCTTGGTTGCGCCTTTCAGGCTGATGTCAGCGTGTATGTGGCAGGTTGCTCAGGAGAGAAAAGTAGGGGAGTATGAAAACTGTCCAAATTCATCTCACTGGTGTCAGAGATGATCCCAGACCTCCTGAGCTACAAACGTAAGGCTCAGCTGATCCTTGGACTGAGGGCCCAGGTGAGTGACTGTGGTTATCAGAACTCATTGTGTGCATCTGTGGCTTTTCTTTTTATATCTTAAAAAGTACTATTACATTTTTGAGGAGCATCTATAATTGTTTTGGGTACATTTTACAGCATTTGGTCAGAATGAAGAAGGACCAAACAAAAAAAATGCATTTAATTCATTTGTTTAGCCTTGAAAAGTTCTAAATTAATCCTTCAAGGCAAACCTACAGCAGCTTGTTGGTAACTTCAGGAAGCGCAATCAGTTAATCACTTTAAGCCAGTATGTATTTAATTTTGACTATAGTTCAGCTGCAGGCTGGTGAGTCACCAGTATTGGGTAAAGTAAAGACTCGAGTATAAATGTACCAATTTATGTCTTTCAGCTCATTCTTGAAATACTGAAGAAGACGAATGATGGTGACAGTTTCCGGCAGAATACAACAAACCACGTGGATGCAGAAGTAAGATGCAGTGTAATAAGCGTCTTAGTTTGACATGTTTTGCACTATAAAAGTGATTTTGCTGTCAAATTTAGATGCTGATATTACTGTTTATTGTATGTAAATATACCTTTTGGCTTTGTGAGAGTAACAAGATGAAGAGGTGGAGATTTCAAAGTCACCATTGGTGGATCTCATTCAAATGCTATTTCGAGATCAGTCATTGAGATTTCTTCTATCGACTGGAAGAGTTATGCCCAGTGCCAAGTGTCTCAGGTATGCTGCGGGGTAATGGAAAAGAGGAAAAGAGGTGAACTTTAATTCCGTGATTGGCAAACGCTGTTCAGTTATTTAAAAAAAAAACAAATGGCAGAATTTTAAAAGTTTGTTTTATTCACAATCGATAAATTTTTCTACATTTTCATTCCTTCTACCAGCATGTCCACTAATAAATATAGATCCACAAATTAAATAGTGGTCTTGGAAGAAGAAATGGGCAGTTTGAGATTTAAGGAAGTCCATTCTTCCTTTCCAGGTGTCTTCCATGTTTGTGTTAGATCCTCTGGACTACAAGCCTGAGAAGTTTGTCCCTAATCTAGAGGATCTGAAGCGACTTTTGCAGCATCAAAAGCAGCAGCAGAAGTTATCCAAAAGTAAGTATCTTTTTATACTGAGTGTTTGGTTAGTATAATCTATGAATAAAAACATGGAGCTGGAAATGGGAATAACAGGTCCTCATTCAAAGGTCATTAAAATCAACATTTTTCTTCTCAGGCAACTTCACCTTCACATCAAACACTATCCTCTCCGTGCTCACGTCACAGCAAACTTCAGTGGAAATCGAGAAGTTTGCCAGACTGAAATACCAGCATTTGACTCACTCTTCAGTTAAGCCATTGAAATGTCCTTATTACAACAAGGCCTACAGGCAGCATAAAGACCTTAATTGTCATGTTCCTATTCACACCAATCCTGGAGTCACGCCCATTGCTTGCCATCTTTGTGATAAAAGATTTTATAGCCACTCCTCACATAAAGTTCATCTTCTGTGTCACAGTGGAAAGAGGCCACATCCCTGTCCACACTGCGATTAGGTTCCTGACGAACTCGGTCTTGAAGTCTCATGTGCGCATTCACACAGACGAGTATCCGTACACATAAAATTCACACAGAGTTATCCACCTCAGGATGGACAGGCAAGACAGGCCATAGCTGTGCAGCACATGTGGTAGGTCCTTTTGTAGTTCCGAAGCCTTGCTGATGCATTCCCGCTGTCACATGGGTGAACGGTCATATTCCTGTGAATTCTGCAAAAAACACTTCGCTACCACGTGCAGCCTGATGCAACATCGGCGGTCCCACACGGGAGAGAGGCCCGACCCTGGCTCACAATGCGACAAAATGTTCAGTAGTTGTACAGGACTGAAAAAACACATTTATGCACACAGGAGAGAAGCCTCACAGCTGTGTAACATGTCACAAGACGTTTGCTCAGAAATCCAACCTGAAAATACATCTCAAAGTCCACAAGAACAAGCAAAGTGGCTGTGGGAGCTTTTGGAGACGCAGTTTGCTACAGATATGGTTCATTTGAGTGTCAGGACAAGTTTTGATGCTAAAAATAATAATTTGCATTTGGACATATAGTGCATTCAAATGTGGATTTTTCCTGTGCTGCCTTGTGTTGAATTTGTGTGCTAATATTGCACGTTACTGTAAACGGGTGTTCTGGATGACCCAAATTAAGGTGTCCATGTCCTAATTCATGGACATAATGAATTTCGAGTTAGACTGTCCTGTCACCCAAACACTTATATATGAGCTGTTGGTGCTGTGAGAATGGTCATCACTTGATAAATGCACTAGAAAGATGTAATATTTGCATTTTTATGGAATTAATGGAATGAAAAAAAGCTTAGTTTCCTAATGTTTTTTACCAGCCTCTGTTGTGATGCCTAGTCTGTTGTTTTCTGCATTAAAAGTTTCCATCCCGTCCACAGTAACAAGTCAGCGAGCATCATTTAATGCTGATGATGATGCAGTAGATGGAAAAACAAAAGAATTAAAAAATCACTACAGAAAATGCATTTTTAAATGCATATTAAACATGATACACCAAAATCACTTGTCTATGTATATGTTAATATGTGTTTTGAGCTTTTTAGTCTTTATTTTGATAGGACAGTGGAGAGAATGCTGGTAAGCCGAGACACAGACCAGGGGAAAACACGCAGAAAATGGATTTGGGGCAGGTTCAAAGCCTGGTGTCTGCATCTGTGGGTGCTTGCTTAACCAAGCAAGGTCAAGCAGGCACCCACAGATGTGAGTCTTCACAGTGTACTCGACGACAGCTCTTATAGCTTGACCAGGATGTTAACTGAAGCTTATCTACTATTCATCAACACATTTGGATTCAGGTGCACCTCCATACAACTCTCATCCTGAACAATAGTGTATTTTTAAGACTCAGTTTCCACTGAGGATTGGTTGATGGAACTTTATTTCCAAAAGGCAATTTCTTTAAATACAACATGATGTTCCAACACAAGTAAAATATTACTTTCTAAAATTTCAGAAATACACAACTCTTCATTATAAAACACGTTCATTTGGGCGGTCATCCTAAATAATAGATTATGCACAATACAGGTCCTTTTTGTCCAGTCTATGTCAGACATGTAGTGCTTTATCAGTCCCAAGATTCTGTCTGCAGTCAGTTTTAGAAACTATATGAAGACAGAAGATTCACTTTGATTGAGCTTTATTACTGACCGTAGGCTTCCTTGTGGGAAATGCTGGGTGATGATGATCTTTTATATTATTTTGGGGGGCATTTTTGCCTTCATTGAATAGTGAAAGCAAAGAGAGACAGGAAGGCAAGGTGAGCTTGCAGTAAAAGGCCAGCTCTGTAGTATGTGGCCGCTTGCTCACTGGCACCTCTTTATGAAGGTCTTAAACCCAGGCTCTGCTTGAAGTCCAGGAACAAGCATCCAGTGAGTTTTTGTTGTTCTTCTTTTCTGCACCAATAATTGCACTTCACCAATTCATTACATCTCATGAGG